ATCGTAATCTCTCTTAGCTGGAAAAAGATAGAAAGTGTGGACAATAAATTGGCAGCTGAAGAATTCACCAAATACACCTATACAGTCATTGTAATTGTGTTTAATCGTCCTTTATTTCAAAAAAAAAAAAAACCCTTCTGAATTCTTTGGAGCTACCTATCTCTGCCAGCTATGTAGATATAGACGACGCTCGGAAACGATCCTACACTATCTCTGTCTGTCTTTAGTTTAAGGTTTCATATTCATCATAAAGCATGCGCGGAACCTCAAAAAGCATAGGCAAAAATGACGAGGCAGTGTTTGCGTTTTTTTTTTCATACTAGAAGCGATTTTTGACTACTCTCACTAAATGGTTTTTCCAGGATTTCAAAGGTAGCTCACCCTGATGATTGGTCGTCGTCCACGCTAGAGGAAGAAGCTGAGAATCGGGGCAGAGCCGTGTCCGCAAAATAGCGTGCCCTTGGATTTGATTGGGCCCTGTAGTGTATTCTTAGTTCTCGTCCAGCTTCATCAGCTATATCTTCAGTCAGTCGATGTGCAGCGAAATTCAGTCTGCACAAGAAATCGACATTGCACAGTAGATCTCTGCTGTCCGTGAAGCTGTGCCGTTCGCACAATTCGTACGCGTTCAAATGAGCGTGGTTCTGTGAGCAGACATTCGAAACGCAACTTGAGCTTAGAGAACAGCGAAGATGTTCACGAATTAACGACTCGCTTTCGTCCTGAACGACATCACTCATGGAGCGACGTAGTGTCTTTTCGTCATCCGTGTCGGCAACAATCACTCCTATCTGCGGCAAAATTTTCTTCTCGTCCTGATCAGCAGAATTTCCGAAAGGATCGCCAAAAAGACCATCGTCCTCCGGCTCCGATACTTCTCCCTGATGTGATGATTGTGATGCTCGTAATGAATGGTCTGTATAGATAACGTGAACGCTGGACCCTCCTCGAGAATGGGTATCATTCGTGGTTCCACTTCTGTAATCCTCTTCAGAATTCGCGGTATCATCTATTCCGGCAAGCGTTGTTGAAGTGTGCCTGGAGGAGCTTACACTTCTTACACGTCCCATGTTGAACGTGTAATTGATTGATGTGCTTCTACTGAATGGTTCAAAGTTGCTCATTTTAGTAGTTCTGTTGGCAGAAGAAGTCAAGCTCGATGACCTCAGCGCAGAAAAATTCTCCGCTTTAGGCGAAGAAAATGCTCTTTGTGATAAAGCAGTTTTTTCCTCAGCATTACCATCATCTTCTGATTCTGCTGTAATGCATGTATCTGCGGCTGCATTATTATGTTCTTTTCTTTCCTGAACCACCAGTTGATCTCTTTCGTGGGAAACACTTGAAGTTAAGTCCCTATAAGAGTCTTCAGTTTGCATATATTGTGCATCTTCTATTGTATAAAAAGTTTTCGACTGCTCTTTATTGCCTTGTGCTGCAGATGTAGTATGACCTCGTTCATCCTGAGCGAAGTAGTAATCCTCCAAAGTTCCTTTCCCTTGTGCCGTAGGTTTTATATTGCTATAATCTTGCACGATAGAGAACGGCTGCACATCAGACAAAGCTCCCTCTTCAAATGAACGCAAATTCGACGTCACCTGGTCGGCTCCTAGAGTTGATTCCAAATTGTCCTGATTCTTTATTAGGTTCAGAGGCTCTTGCTTAACTGGCTCATTCATAAATTCTTCAGAGGCCCAAGATAAAATAATGCTTTCTGTCTTTGCAGGATTCTTTTCTAGTAATGATTCAAACGCAGATCCCTTTTCTAAAGGCTGTGCATCCGCTTGGTCGCGTTCCTTTTGAACAACATATTCGCTGTCGCCTTCTGAGCCGGAGTCTGCCTCACTATGGCTCACAGTATCATGCGGTGTAAAACGATTTTCGTATGTCGGCTTCCCAACTGAAAACTCTTCTGTCAAAGTCTGTTTGTATGCGATATGATGCAATTGCTTCTGTGTGACAGTTGTTGTGGGAGTTGGTTCTGCATCCATTCTATGGCCCAATTGTTCGAATGCAAAATGTCCGATATTGTCTTCGGATTCAGCCGGTGAAGAAAGATCAGATGCTGATAGCTGATCCGCTCCAGAAGTTGATTCCGATATGCTCTGATCACTGAGTTGTTCCTGAGCAATCTTGTGAGCCTCGGAAGCTTTTGGTGCCCATAATATTGCTGCATTGTGATCCTTGCCCAAGGGAGCGCTGGAGCTGTACAAAGATTCTTCTGCAAGACGCTGTACGTAAGCTATGTGGTCTAACTCTTCCTGTGTAAGTTGGGAATTTTCTTCTACCCGTGTCTGTGATCCCTTTACTTCTTCGAGATATGGCATAGAAGGTTCCTCTAGCGTAGTAATTCCTTCCTTGCATGGCTGCATCGATCTCAGATGTTGTGCAAGCTGATCAGAGGTAGTCTCTTCCAGCGACTGCAAGTAGCTAGGATTTTCCTCACTAAGTCTTATCGTAGATGAGATATCATGTTGTGAAGTGTCCCCCCTGGGAGAAGGTTCGACACCAAAAGTTGAATCTGTTCTTTCCTTATCACAAAGTACATGCTGTGCGATTTCAGCCTTTTCTACCGATGTTCTTGCTGCTGGTGGGATGTAAGTTTCAACATTGCCTTGCGAAGGGTTTGGCTGTGTCTTCAGCTGGGGCACACATGCCTCTGCTAAAAGTTGTATGTTTGCTATATGATCAAGCTCTTCCTTTGTAAGCTGTTCAACCAAGGCCACTTCGGCAAACTTTTGTTGGCCAGCCTTTTCGATGGAAGAATCCTTTGCCAACTTCTGTATATTCAAGTTCGACGTTGAAAGGTTTTGTAGAGCAGATATTCCACAAGAAGATTCTTCTGCTAGTTTCTGTACGTAGGCAATGTGATCTAATTCTTCCTGAGTAAGGGCTATGGTGGGTTCCTCAACCGCTGAATTTGCTTCAGTGTGACTGGGCAGGAAAGGGCTCTTCCGTTCCTCGATCTCGAATGAGGACTGCTCCGACAATTTCTGCATGAACGTAACGTGGTCTACTTTTTCTTGGGTAAGTTGATCATTTTCTGATAGCTCCATCACATTTTTGAGACTCTCGAGATTTTCTTCTCCATTATCCCCATTCAGAGACGCAGCGTCGAAAACATGATCCCTCTCAATCAAAGAAAGATTAGAAGACGAC